ATCGATTTTGAAAATAATCGTTAGCTGCAGCTCTAGCTTTTTGACCATTAAAAGGGGCCACTGCTGTGAGAAGACAGACGTCTATGACCAAAGAGGGGTGCAGATTTGATTTGGAGAGAAGGCAGGGGCACAAATGGAGGGCTGCACAGAGTGGCTCAAATGCAAATAGAATGCATATATTTGTTACAACAGTTCCAACACAACTTTAAAAGGGTGTCATATCCTTTGCAGGTAGTATAATCTTTCAGCACAAAAAAGAGCTGAAGATGGTTAAAAGAACCAAAAGGTCATCCATTGAACTAGTGCAAAGTTATTTTCAAGAACAGAACGTATCTTTCTATCTGCTGATTAACCCAAACACATAAGGCCTTTATTCCTTTATATAGTTTTTGGATATTGTGCAGAGCATTGCAAAATTCCTTTCTGCCCAAATGCACCAGAATAGCTGGTTTACAGCACAGATATGACCTGCCAAACTGCATACAGCCGGAAACATAGCTATCTTCAAGAAAAAAAAACTATTGATCCCTCATCAGAGTGCAGTGTCTGAAGACCACTTTTCTACCTAGCATTTAATTTCCTTGTTGCTACGGCAACAAGTTATAAATGAAAGGAATAAAATCTTTGATAAACCTCCCTCCTCACAACAACAGATTCTTACCTTATCTCCCACAAGAAAGCCTTTTCCTTCATTATTTTTAGCAAGGATACGCTCAAAATAACCGAGATCAGTGGGAAGTGCCTTTATGTAATCTGCCTTTCCATTTTCCTGAAGGAAAAAAAATCCACGCACCACAATTAATGCAGAAAGGGAGTAAAGATGTGTGGTAAAACCTGTACTGCCAAGTCATACTTACATAGTTTTGATAAATGAGACGAATATACTTTAACCTGAGATCTTCCACGCCATCATTTACCATGTCAATCTGTGCAGCCTCAATTGGAGTTTTCCCATACAGCCCTAGACGTGTTAATCATAGATTGTTAAAACAAGTATGTCACTGTTTAAAAAGCTAAA